AAAAGGATACCCATATTGCATTTTTCGAAAAATCGTGTGCGCCATCTTGTATTTACAAATAAGCGCTATGTTCGTAATGAGCACCCGCAAATACCTCGAAAACGATACCCAACTTGCCATTATTCGAAAAATCGTGCCCGCCATCTTGAATTTAGAAATGGGTGACATATTCTTAATGAGCATCCTCAAATACCTCGAAAAGGATACCCATATTGCATTTTTTGAAAAATCGTGTCCGCCATCTTGGATTTAGAAATAAGCGCTATATTCGTAATGAGCACCCCCAAATACCTCGGAAACGATACCCAACTTGCCGTTATTTGGTAAATCGTGCCCGCCATTTTGCATTTCCATGAACTTCTCGAAGCGAGATTCGTCGAGCTGGAACCCACCGAGGACGTTGACGAGGCCCTACAAGGCGTGGTTGGGACGCTGAGAAGCGAGGGCATCAAATTCTGTCAATTGCAGCGTACGGGAAAGAAGTCTAAACTCTCGGATGAGACTCTGCGACTTATGACGAAAAGACGCGATGACATCCAGGCCACTTCGTCAGAGAGGTCATACCTAAACAAGCAGATTGCGAAGATGGTACGGCGTGACCTTCGGAGCTCCAATACACGCCTCATTGAGGAGGCGATAGAGCGAAACCGAGGGTCCAAAGTATTCACTCAGCAGCTTGGAAGGAGCCACCTGACGAAGCTTACAACGCACGATGGCCTAACCGTTACGTCAAAGCCGCAGATACTCGCCGAGATAGAGGACTTCTATGGCCGTTTGTACGCTGTAAATGCTCCTCGGGTCCAGCGTGACAATCACGATTTGAGAGCCACCTTGACGCGCCACTATACCGACGACCTGCCAGAAATCAGTCAAGACGAGATCGTGTTGGCTCTAAAACAGCTTAAAAATGGAAAAGCCCCCGGTAAAGACGGAGTTACTTCGGAGCTTTTGAAGTCTGGAGGAGTTCCTATTATCCAGGAACTTCAGAAGCTCTTTAACTTGGTCATTCACTGCGGGAGAACTCCACGGGCGTGGAACAGGAGTATTGTAGTTCTCTTCTTTAAAAAGGGAGATAAAACTCTACTGAAAAACTACCGACCCATCTCACTCCTGAGTCACGTCTACAAGCTGTTTTCTAGAGTCATCACGAATCACCTCGCAAGAAGACTCGACGAGTTTCAGCCACCGGAACAGGCCAGGTTTCGGGGAGGATATGGCACCATAGACCACAAACACACAGTGAGGCAGATTATACAGAAGTCCGAAGAGTATAATCGGCCCCTGTGTTTAGCTTTCGTGGACCATAGTCCACGTTCTCATAAGAAGGCCTTTGACTCTGTCGAAACCTGGGCAGTCCTGGAATCCTTACAGCGGTGCCAAGTGGACTATCGTTATATACAAGTGTTGAGATGTCTTTACGATGCTGCTACCATGAGTGTCCAAGTACAGGACCAGCAGTCTGAACCTATCCAATTACGCAGAGGAGTGAGACAGGGGGATGTCATATCCCCGAAACTGTTCACCGCTGCATTGGAGGATATGTTTAAGACGCTGGACTGGAAAAGGAAGGGCATTAACATAAACGGCGAGTACATCTCACACTTGCGATTTGCAGATGACATAGTCCTAATGGCAGAATCGCTGGAGGAACTGGATCAGATGCTGAACAGCCTAGCATCCGCCTCGCGGCGGATTGGTCTCGGCATGAACTTTGATAAAACCAAAGTCATGATCAATGACCACATTGATCCGAGACCCATCTGCGTCAATGGCCACCTTCTTGAAGTTGTTTCCGAATACACTTACCTCGGGCAGATTCTGCAGTTAGGTAGAAATAACTTCGAGAAGGAGGCCAGGAGGAGGATTCAGCTTGGCTGGGCAGCGTTTGGGAAGCTACGTCGAGTCTTTTCGTCACCCATCCCGCAGAGCTTAAAAACAAAGGTTTTCAACCAGTGCGTCCTACCAGTTCTAACGTACGGAGCTGAGTCGTGGACACTCACGATACGGCCAGTCCACCAGTTTAAAGTCGCTCAGCGAGCTATGGAACGAGCTATGCTCGGAGTTTCTCTGAAAGATAAACTCCGTAATGAGGTTATCAGACAGAGAACCAAAGTGATCGACATAGCTCTTCGGATAAGCAAGCTGAAGTGGCAGTGGGCTGGACATATCTGCCGAAGAACCGACAACCGCTGGGGTAAACGAGTTCTTGAGTGGAGACCACGACTTGGCAAACGTAGTGTGGGACGCCCTCCAGCCAGATGGAGTGACGATCTGCGGAAGATTGCTGGCAGGAAATGGATGCGTCAAGCCGAGAACAGGGCGAAATGGCGTGCATTAGGGGAGGCCTATGTCCAGCAGTGGACTGCAATAGGCTGATGATGATTTTGCATTTGGAAATGCAAACAGTCGTGTCAGCCATCATGTATGCAGATATAAATGCCATTTCCAGAACCATCTTGAATTTAGAAATAATGCCACATTCTCAATAAGCACTCCCAAACAACTCGAAAATGTCTATAATTCTCGTTGTCGATCGACATTGTCTACGATCTACGATGTATCTGTAGGCACCTTTACAGGTCCCATGTGAGTCAACCGTGACCATGGTACAAATATACGCGATTTAAATCCGGAAAAATAGTTTCATTTCCTATTTATGTTTTGTAAAAAGTTATGGAACAAACGGTGTTGTTTATTACGTTAGTAATATAGTCCTGCGTGGTTGTTAGTAGCGGACTTACCTTAATGGAAAACAATCTGTTATCAGAGGAAACTGTCTGCACCGAAAGAGTTATTGGTCCTTCGGCATTGCCGACTTCGATGTAAACTGAAATTTCAGGTAGTTTATTAAGCATACCTGTTCAAATATAACTTAGCAAACTGCAGTAGAATTCTTACTGTGCTGCCCTGTGTTGACCCCACACAAAATAGGAATAATGTTGTTGCTGTTTTGACCAGATACCACGAATTGATCTTGCTCACAAGTTCCTACATTAGGTGGAAGTAACTGTGAATGTAAATATATACGAAACAAATTATTTAGTATTCGTAATTAAATGGTAATTCTAAGCAATGTTACTTATTTATAGAATTTAGCGATTATACCTCAAAATTCACGAAATCTAAGCGTATTTGCTGAATGTCTCCTGAGGTCTTATCCAATGCGAGCGTACAAGACAATCGTGTGGTACTGGTTGAAGGGAATCCTGGGTTTGTGAACCAGCCTGTAGCCGCCGCAGAACGGTCATCACACGAAAATTGTGCTAAAATAAAAGGCATGTTTTATTGTATCATTGAATGTTTTGTTGTTATACAAAATCTGTTTTTTTTTGTTCTGCTTAAATATGCATGTAACTACTTGTGATGTTACTGATCGTGTATTAAAACTTGTTCAGGTGTTTTTGACACTTTAATTTTTAATTTTTTTGATAGTAATAATAATTTATTTACTCCACAGAGTATATACGTAATATTTATTTACACTAGGTTTATATAAGACTGTACCTAAAATAATCAGAAGTTTGGATGTCAGGTCTTTCACCGATAACGACCCTTAAATTAAATATTGGAGAAGTGAAATTCTACGTATAAAAAATAATAATAAGGCTAAGTAAACAATTTTGATTTTCACTAGACTGAACATAGGTTTACTGAGAGTCGCTTGATGAATTGGCTTTGTGTTGATAAAAGTAGGTAAGTAACTTACTGACGCAACAAGTTCCGTAGCCATCAGCACAGGACCCCATCGTAGATCCTCCAGATTCCTGACATTCATTTTCAGGTAAACAAGTCCCTTCGAGACCACTGCTTGAGGTGCAAGCTACATGATCGAATTCTACCACTTCGAAGATCTCCAAAAACCGTTTATTTGCGGTTTGATTCAAATTTAATTGCTTCTTCTGTCGAGGTCTTAATGAAGGACAACGTTTTTGAATCACTCTTTTCTTTGGCTTAGAAGTTCTAATGACGTTGATGTTTTGTATCGTATTATTAAATTTAAAAACGGGTGGCGGATTGCGGTTATTATTGACGACATTATGTGGCGCTGTAGGATCTACGTTAAAAGCGTTGATCACTGGAACAGGTTCATATTCGGGAGTATTTTTATGGTTTGAAAATTTTGAAAATAACTTGTGTTTTGAGATTTTATTGACGGTCTGTGTAAGTAACGGCGCTGGAGTAGTCACATCCTGTTTCCGCATGAAATTCCAATCACTCCATTTGGTTTGGTTGCTAGAATTCACTATTTTAGATTGCTGGTGCCTATGCGCGCTATTCACTGAGTTAGTCTTAAAAGCTACGGAAGGGGGACCGAAGTAAATCAACTTAGGTAAATCCAAGTTACTGTCAACTAAAGAAGCTGAATACCACCGTTCACCGTCGATAATTAATATAGTCCAGAGTAATATCATAGCGTGTTCTTTGAAGTGATACATTTGGGTCGACTCTAGTATTCGGAAATTTTAATAATAAATTTAATAAATAAATTTCTTAGTTCGAAATACCTAGGTAGCTTGCAATATACGGGTGCAATGTTGACTGCAGTTTGTACTGTGCAGTTTGCATGACGGTGCACTTAGCTTACTCAGAGGGCATACTAACGGAGATAATTAAATGTCTAGAAACCGTTCTGGTTTGTCTCTTCGTCCCACTTGCCGGTTGGCGTCTCTCAAATGGCGGTGTTTTCATAAACTGTCACGAGAACCGGATGCAGGTAACGCGCTGAGATAGCAATTGCACAAAATACCGATGTCGATAGGTATGTCTTACAATTAGCACTAGTGACTTGAACAATAATTGTGACTAGAATATAGGAACTTGCAATATTAGGTACCTACTTTATAGTTTCATTTATATAATTTCGGGAGCTAAGCACTATTTAGAAGAGTGCCGAGTTGACTGGATGGGAAATTTGCATAACTTTTGTAACATAATATGAATTTAAGGGTAATTATTGTCAAACCCATTAAAATTATCAGTAGGACGAAATTATTAACCATTAACCCAAATATTTATGTGCCGTTTTTTAAACGTTGCTTTTTACAATGTAGCTTTCTTTAAGTTATTTATCTGCTCTATATGTGTAGCTTATCCTTTGTGTTCAATCCGTCTCAACTAGGAGTTCCTAATGGCTAATAACTTGGACTAGGCCATTCGTTCAGAAAAGTAGTCACCTTACCTATTTCTGCCGCTAAGTAGTAATTGAGCATTACTGCGTGTAGGTTGAAGGGTTAGGGGTGGTGGTGGTGAAATTATAGGCACATGGGATTTTTTAACTTACGCTTCAGCGTAACGGGTGCATAGCAGTTCCCCTCACATCTTTGCAATATAAAGCTCTGAGCGGTAGGTATACTGCAACTGTCATGGACAAGCGTGTCGCTTAACTACCACCACTTGCACGGCTTGTTCGTGCCGTCACTTGATATCATAAAAAAAATCATTAGCTTGTCTATCAAAGAATTATAAAATGTATACGGTGAGATACCTAAGGTGTTAAAACGTTCACAGATTACAAGGTAGACAGTTTAATGCACTAAAAGGCGCAACAGTTTTAGATTTATTTATATTAAACGTATATCGGAGCAGTTACTGACAAGCATCGTAAAATAACAGACAGGTTTAGGTCACAATACTGTAATGAATAAAGCCCAGTGAGCCTAGTTAGATTGCCGAGCCACTCCCTTCATGTATGTGATTCATATTCGGCTAGATATCTATTTATACTGTAAGTACTTGAAGTATATGTAAGTATGTACTTACCTACATGAATACGGGGAATAATTACAAATTCAGTAAACAATTACGAGTATGGTAGGTGATTCTACTCGTGATATTAACTTTTCCTAGAACTTATGAGGTCTAATTTGCAAATAAAAATTGAACTTGCTTTATATAACGTAATCAGTTAACTGAACAATTTGTCTTTCTTTCTTCGTTTATCTTGCTGTCCGTGGATGCTGAAGAATTTGAATCGTTCCCTAGTTCCGTTGTCTCGTCATTCTCACTTTGTTTCTTTCCGTTGTCATTCTACTTAATCGCTGAAGCGAGCAGTGCTGCTCGTCTAATTTTGTTCCTTTTACCAGTTCTCATCCTAAATCATATAACAATTTTAATACCACTTAATCGAATTTTTTCTGAGTGTTCGATCTTTGTATCAATAATTATAACAAAGTAACAAAGTAATAAAAATTTAATTAATACAGTGAATAGCGACATCTCTCGCCAGGATTGGCTGTAGAGGTACTAACTGGGTGATAAATCTGTCATAGATTTCTCATAGATGGCGCTACGACTAAAAAGTCGTTAAAAAACCAAATACAAAAGACACGACGACGCAGCATATAGAAAAATTCGTGAGGTCCGTTGGTTCGTTCCGTGGCCTAGTTGGTATAGCGTCTGACACGGTATGCAAGAAGACGTCGGTTCGAATCTGGTCGGATCGAAGGAATTTTTTCTGAGTGTTCGATCTTTGTATTAATAATTATAACAATATTTGTATAATTCGGCCCTTTCGGGGTAACTTTGTGTCACGATTTTTTAGTATCTAGGTAGGAAGTGTTTTTTAATATTGTACCTGTTTTTTATACCTATTTTTGATTTTATTATATTGCTCCCTATTGGCGGTTTACAACCTTTTAACTGTGTATTCGATTGTACTTGTACTGTAAGCAGTTTTAAGTGAGAAAATATATGCCACATAGCAGTAGTAGGTAATGCCACCACTTAATGTACGAAATAAAATTTTATAGATAGTAACCACGTTGAAAATTGCTTTGCTACATCTATTTACAGATTCATAACTATGTGCATCGAGGTAAAAAACGTGAAGAAATCTAGGCCAGTACACTTGTCCCATTAGTCGTCGATTGTAAGGGAATTTATTATAAATCATACGCGTAAAGTTGGCGGACTTGCTCCACTTGTTCACGGATATATTTATCTATCTCTCTCATACTGAACTTATTCAAGCACGTTAAAGTGTCCCTACCTACACACAATTTAATATTTATATATAATTTAATATATAAGTAATAATACTTATATATTAAATTATATAATAACACCTTTTAAGGCGTTTACAGATTTGGACTTGCAATAATACTTGAGTACCAACGCTTTGCTTCCAGTACTATTTGTAATTTTTCTGCGTAAATGCTGTCTACCATATGCCATCAATGCATTCTTTCATATTTCGGCCACTTGATGCGCAGAGGACAGAGACAACGAAGATTGGAGAAAGTAATCATAGCCGAAAACACGGAAGGAAAGCGATTACGAGGTCGTGCACCAACAAGATGGATCAACCAAGTGAAAGACTCATTGTCCTCCAATTTTTGCACGGTTATGTGGTTTGTGGTTGTAAGGGAGGCACTGTATAGAGACTATATAAACAGACGGAGGCAGAACACTCGCTTCAGAAGTACCCACGAAGTTGATCACGATCCTTATACATGAGAGAGAGAGAAGTTGTTAATATTCTTTGAATCATAGGTTCCCAAACTTTTTGGCTTCTCGTCAACTTAGGCAAGATAACCAACCAAATCAAACCAAAAAATCACAAGAAAAAAAACATGTAGTGCAGTTTATAAAGATTATTCAGGTTTATTTTTTTTAAATGCGGTAGCACCCCCTGTGCAGCATCAACGCCCCCAATTGCTTCCGTGGCCCCTACCCTGTCTTAAGGACTCTGCAGCGCCTACCAGGGGACGGTGGGGACCACTTAGGGAAACTATGCTTTAAGCAAATAAGTAGTTGTTGTTCATCAACTTCGCTGCTTATAAATTAAATGCTTTGCACTTACGTCTGTAATAGGTAGACATATAAGTACAAAACGAATGTAAAATTACACTGTTGTCTAAGAGTATCTACATTATGTATATGTAGGTGCTACTTGCTATTGATGTAAACTTTATGTATGATGTACTTTAAATATAAAATAAAATAAAATATACCAATGCACTTATGTTAGTCGAAATTAGTTTTTAGGTGAAAGAATGAAGTTGGTAGCGAAAAGAAAAATAACTTTTAAAACTATTTAACTCGTGATTGGTAGGTACCTAGACACATTTGATACGAATCTGTTCGTACTTTCGTATGGTAGCACGTACGATAAGACAACATGTATAAACCCACAGAATACAACTACCATGAAGCCCAGCTTTTAGAGTGGTTACTCACGACGACTTTTAGCAGCGATGCAAACGCGCGTTCGTGATACGCGCGATTTCATCGCTACACTTGCTATTTATAGGCGATTGCATCGATGCAGTCACTTATGAATCCCAAGCAATATAATAAATAATAAAATTGTTTATTGAATAACGTATTGTGCAAATGAATAACTAAAGACTAATTATGCGAATAAATATAAAATATAACACATATACCTGAACTAGGAGAATCCTGTATTTCAGGTAAAGTGTAGCGACACAATCGCGCGTTGTGTTGATGCGTTTGCATCGCTGCTTAAAATCGCACGCGTATAAAAGGTAGACGATTAGCGCATAGCTGCATCGCTACTGCATCGCGTTTGCATCGCTGTTAAAATTCACCGTGTGCAGCTGCTCTTAATTTCGTCTTATTGCCTATTATTTCCAACAATCTAGACCAACCAATTAAGGGTCTAGCAATTTGACTGCGTTAAAGCGCTTGAAGTGTCATTTACAACAGCATTAATGTCTTGCAATTGGCGATTATTTCATTAAAACTATTAAAATTATATTTGCACATGTCTGCGTGGTTGTTCAGTGGGTTGGGTGAGGAATAGCCTTAATAGCTGCAACCTAGATAACGTGTGATATGGCCCTACTAGTTTATAACTAAACGATAGCGTAATCACTTAGTATCAACCCTTGACCGGGCAGTAAAACTAGTCCTTACGTCTAATTTATGCTTTCTCTAACCGTTCAAGATTAAGTAAATAACATTCCAATACACGATTGTATAATTATCATTGTTTCTGCAGTATAAGTACTTATATTGTGAAATTCCTACATTGTTGCTACTTACAAGAAAAAATGTAAGTAGTGGAATTTGCTCATTATGTAGCAGGTACTGTACTGAACGTTACAGCTTCCAAACAAGGCGATAACAAGGAGTTACTCAATTTCGCACATAAAGTGGGTAGACCCACGGTATACATCTTACAAATCTTTGTGTGTCCTTCCCATATTTTCGTCTCTTAGTACACAATAGATAACAAGAAAAGTACCTAAGTACTTATTTTACACCAAACTTACTTAAGCTACTATCAACTGTCCATGGAACTTAGCAATGTATTGCATTGCACATTGTCCTCAATAATGTTGGGCGCGCCCGCGCTTTTTCTTAAGCTTTGCTTTGCACACGCATGGCACAATACCGACCGCCTCATATATTATGTTCGGTCCGCCCGCCATATCCTTTCGCACGTGTTCTCTGTATCATACCTACTGTAGCTATAAAAGCTTGGGTCTGACTGAATCGTATCACATCTTAGTAAGGCTTTGCAGGGTTAAGCCATATGATGTTAAAAGTAAGTATGCGCAGAGATTTCTTTATTTGTAGAAATATAATCAGAGGTCTACCTCATAAGTCATAGGTATACATACTCTGATATAATTCAGATATCTGTCGATTAAATTTCGTGCACTTTTTGTTCGTAATGTGAGTTGTGAAGGTGAGTGAGGGATTAAAGATCGATGAGTGTTCTTTCTTTCTTTAGTCACTTCTGTTAGCTTGCGCGTTGGCAGCCACCCAGGCTGCGGGAATCATCGCCCCCGTAGGCCATTTGGGTGCTTACGGGTCCCCTTACAGCTATGGTGCCTGGAATCCGTATAGCGCGTACCCAGCCCAGCCTGCTATTGCCACCCAGAGCTCCAACATCTTGCGATCACCGTTTAATTTGGGCCAAGTAAGTTTTTAAAATTTTGTTTCTTATGTCTACTGCAGTTTCCTCTCAATAATATTGAATAGTCTGACCGAACTGAATACAAGGTAAATCAATTTTTCATATATTTTTAATTACTTAATTAGATTCTCAGGAAAACGTATTTATTTCTAATTCTCGTTCTGTTTTACAATATTTTTACGTTTTGTTCTCGGTCAGACTATATTGAATGATCCAAGAATAAAAATTATTTCTTAGGTATCAACCTACACGAAAGCGATAGATACTCCTTTCTCGAGTGTGCGTAAAGCTGACATCCGCGTGAGCAATCCTGGCGTAGCAGTAGCTGCGCCCTATGCACACTATGGTGTCGCCGCGCCCGTTGTCTCTCATATCGCTTCTCCTGTTGTTTCACATCTAGGCGTTGCTCCTGTGGCTAAGGTAGGTGTCTTAATGAATACTTTTTTTAAGGTGTTCAGGTAAGAAAGGTAATTACGTAATTACCCCTTACTAATTTTAGACCATAAATATTTTAGAGAATTTGAAGAAAAGAAAATAAGGAATGCCTGAAAAAATAAGAAATGGAAACAAATTCAATTAAAATGCCGGTTTACAAATTACGGATAAACATATATAGGGATAAACAACTACCTATTCCAGTTTTGCATACAGTGGGCAGTATTGAACTGAATGAGTTTAAAATCGCATGTGAGTATTTACTTCTGAGTTAAATACGAGTTATAGTACTTAGCCTTTTCCTAAATTATGTCATACAGAAAATCAAAAATCTAGTACAAAAATGACATTGGCTACTTGCTCTTCTTAGAAATCTAGACCCCAAATCACGATATTGCTTAATTTCAGCCATGATAGTTGAGGCTAGGATGAAAATTACTTACTGTATGATTATACTGTAATTTCAATCATTATAAATTGATATACCTAATATTTGTAGGCACTATGTGTGCACAACAAATATGTGTTGTAGTTATTTAAAAATCCTTATAAAGAAATAACCGTTAGAGTACCTACCAGAAAAGCAATAATTGTATTAAAAAGTGTAAGCTTCGGAATAAATCAGTGTAGTGCGTCGCGCAAGCGCAACGCTGTGATTTCAACGTATCGAGTGTCACACGAACAGAGATGGGATAACTGCTTATTTTTATAAACGTTTAAACGTTATAGCTTGCGTCACAAGCTATAACGTTTAAACGATGTGACCTCCTTACATCGTCATCCCACCTTTTTATCGCCTTTTCTCCGATTCCTGGCCACTCGTTTTTTGAAATTGAAAATTGAAATTTGAATGAAAAAAAATTTTGAATCGTTCTTCAATAGTTTCTTTTGCCCCGCCATTCTGATTTTGTTTCGTTCCATGATCACTCCCTGCTCGAACGCGGCAGCGTACAGAGCTGTTTCAATTGCGTCTAATTTTGATTCTCGGTGGATCCCCCGCAATTTGACTGAGGCTCAAAAAACGGATCGCGTCACTTGGGTGCAATGCCATGCTTACCAGATTCAACGAAAGGGCGTCAAATTTGGTGTGGGACATTCGAGATGAGCCGAAACCAACCAAAGTGGCGCTCGTGCAAAGTGTGTCTAAGCGGATGATTGCTTCTTTTTTTAATAAAACTGGACACGTGGCTACTGTTGCTTTGGAGAATCGTTGTACCGTGAATAGTGATTGGTACACGACCATTTGTTTGCCGGAAGTTATTGACAAACTCCTTAAAAATAATCACCACCACGATAATGCCAGTTCTCACACGGCCAGACAGACAAATTAATTTTTGAAGGTGAACAACGTTGACCTTATGAGCCATACACGTACAGTTCCAACCTGGCACCTTGTGACTTTTATTTCTTTCCAAAAATTAAGAACCAGTTACGCGGTCAACGATTTTCATCACCTGAAGAGGCTGTTGAAGAGTATGAAAACTATGTTTAAGAGATTGTCACGGAGGAGTGACATAAATGTTTTCAAAATTGGTTCATTCAGAATATTTTGAGAAACAAATTGATTTCTGACCATTTATAGTATTTTTTCTTATTCATTCCGGAAACTTATAGTGTGCCCCACATAATCATGTGGCAATTTTTAATATCAATCTGTAACTCAGGATAACTCGGCCCTTTTGGGGTAAGTGTCTACTTTATATTCATCCAAAAGCATATCCGTATATAATTAAGTTAGGGAGTGTTTTGCAGAATTGTACTTGTTTTTGTATACTTTGTTACAGCCTCTTTTTTCTCTTTACCAAAACTTAATAAATTTCCGCGGACTTATTTAAGTTTTTTTTATTTTATTACCGTGAACCTGGTCACGGCTCATTAGAGTTCACCTTTTCAAGCTTTTTAAAAAAGCATAGTTTTTAGACGGATTTCACCTTAGAGGATGGAAAAAAATTAAAAGAATAGTCTATGCATTTCACTTAAACTTTATGTTTTTCCATTTTTTTTACTTTGAAGCTTTTTTAAATCGTTTACAAAAACGTTTAAGCGCATTAACTTTTATGTTAAAAAAGCTTGCAACTTTGTGTTGATAGCGAAAAGCAAGAGTGGGCCATTAAAGGTTTTAAGTTAAGTAAGTTTATTATAAAACGCGAGTTTTAGTTTTATTTATAAAATTATTATTCACATATTTAATTAATTTGTTTAGGAAACATAAATGGCGGGCCTTGAAACTTAGGCACGTTGTAAAAAATGAAATTCTTGAATATAGAACTGACCACAGACCACATAAATACTAGTAACTGACCAACGCTTACGCTTATGTGCTTATTTTAAAAAGCAAACTTTTTAAATGCTTTTTGTTTAAACGCCTACCACTACACACGAGCAATGCGGTGTCCTCGCTTGCTTGTCCGATGCGCACTCCTTTCGGCGCTGCGCGATGTTTCGACGCACCACATGGCATGTAGTTCTACTTTATTATGTAGTATAACGCAGCGTTATCGCTCTGGCGTCACACGCAACGCCTCCGGCTAGCACGCAACGCAACGGGTGATATTGCTCTAAAGGCACGTAGGTAATGATGCCGTGTCACTTTTTTGTTCTGATGCCACCTAGTGTGTGGCTTCTAATGCCTCCTAGGCATTATTTCGATTGTAAATACAAATTTAACATAAAATTCGCTAAGTAAAAAAAATAATAAAAAAGCTTTAACGAGTAGGTAACCACATAACTTATAAGTACGTATGCATTTGTGTTGTAATAATAAGTCACATGACAAAAGTTTAAAAGCAATACTAACAAACTTGTACTTAACAAAGACCGAATTCTTTACTTTTTTACTATAATTTTGTTTAGACAGTTCCGGGACACAAAGTGTGTTGGGATCATACATTTATTATACCTATATATTAAATCTATAGACGGAATAGTATGGGATAAGATAACGTAATATAAATAATCGACCAACTCACAATGTTCTTTATAGGTAGCTGCGGCTCCAGGACTATTGGGCGTGGCGTATTCGGCAGCTCCCGCTGTTTCGCACATGACCTACTCCAATGGCCTCGGCATTGCATACGCCTGGTAAAAATTTAGTTGAGGACGACGATGATAGAATAATTTTGTATTTATTGTATTTACCAAGATGAAAGATTCCTCTGTATTTGTTACCTAATAGTTTTAACTGTTATTTATTTACTTACAGTAAAAGTAAAGGATATAAGAAAAATAAGTTTTAAAAATATAATGCCTTTCATTACACGTTTAAGGTTTCGGCAGATTTTTAAAAAGTTATTTAGAAAAAGCCATTAAATCTTAATTAAGAAGTGGTTACAGATTAGTTGCCCTCGTTTTTTATTAATTATTTAAACCATCGAGGAAAAATTACATCTGCTAGTTGTCTACTATTTAAGTTTCAACAAAAGTATAAGTAGAACCAGGAGGCCTCACCCAGTGCATTTTTTTTTCAGTTATGACCTTAGAGTTTTGACTTATGGCGGGAAATTGAAACAAGGCGATCGAACTTTAATTAACTTTACATAAAAATAAACGTTAAATTTCTTTAAAATTATGTACAATTTTGTATAATAGTAGGTATAGAGTAATTCGTCCGTTACTTGTGTTTGCGCTGACCCGTAGGCATAGGCGCGGTTAAAAATCCCATCATGGAATGAAGCGGCATCGGCAGTCACGCACAAAATCAACTTCAAATGCTATAGGCACCCACTTAATATCAAATCGATCGTGTTCTTATACTGCTATTTAAAAGAAAAATTCCTTTGAGAAAAATTAATGTTTATCTTTGTAAACAGACAATTGATCACATTTGTCATTTACAATATTTCACTTGGTTGTTTTACATAGAAAGCTGAGTGCTAAGTATTTGTAGTATGGGTACTCTATACTCGTATAAGGTTGCCTCCAAATGCTCCAAACTAACTAAATTATTAACTAAATTAACTCCATAGAGTACGCTTCTTTTGTTAGATTAATGTTGTTAGGATTTTTGAGAAAATGGCTAGGTTGGTATAATAACGTACATCACATTTATTTCAACTGTCACAAACCGTATTTTGATCGATCTACTATTGCCTATGTAAATCGTACTTGCGGCAGTGCCATTTCATTATATTTTATTTATCTTCCATAAACTTGTGTTCCTTTTTTACAAGCATTTCTTTGTAATTTGTGATCCCTTCTAAATCATTCTAATCCTAACATAGTCTCGTAGATCTATATCGTAATTTTAATGTGAAGACCTCGTTGGCCCAATGGTTTGCACTGTGGGCATACGATGAGGAGGCCCCGGGCTCGATTCCCGGTAAGGCCAATTTAGAAAATGAACTTTCCTGAATTGATTCTGGGCCCTGATTTTAATTCAAATCGGAGTCGACCCGATCGGGTAGCCCATCCACAATATTATACGCCTCTACTCGGAAAAGACGCGGTTTCCGATCGGGAGAGGCAATCAAAATCAAGCTGCTGGTCTGGGTGTTTTGGGAAGTGCCCCAGATTGAATTCCGTTGCTCTGGTACACATAGTACTGGGAATTCCCTAGTTAGAATCAGGCAATTTGTGTGGTTGGCACATTATTATTATTTTACAAAAGTTTGAAAAAATCTGAATTACATAAATAAAGTTGAGAGATAACTTTACCATAAGATACTTATTGTTTATCGTTGACTATAACAATAATCGCGAAAAAAGCCCGAAAATAAGAAAGATAAATAAATGGAGAACTTGGATACGAACATAGCCAGGCCATAAAACAGTAAGTTAAAAAAAAGGTTTTTTTTTTAAACGGCCCATTCATCATCCGCCGCACAGGCAAAGGCTGCTCACACACTATCCCATACGCAGGATACGCCTTCGTATGGGGTCTTGCAGGATGCATTGCTTCAGAATGGCTAGCACGCAGCGACTACATTCATAATCCATCATCACGCGGCAGACGGCAAGACGGACTGCAATGCAGGATAATCAATGCCATAGAGAGTGGACCGTTTTAGGGATGTTTTTGGATTGCAAAGCATCAAATTATGATCTGAATCGATCCACGGATCAGATCGTTTGCTCTTGAATCGATCTCACAAAAATCGATTCAAAATTTTTAATAATTAAACACTTTTATGACACGATTTAAACGCCATACTGTTAATCATTTATTTGTTTTGCTTTTCACACATGCCAATCCTTTACATCTAACTAAACTTTTCAATAATAATGTTATAATTTAATATTCCAAGCATTGTCCTCTTCTTTATTTTCCGCGTCTTAACGAAATCATTAATAAGGTGGGACTTTTGTTTATATTAAGAATACAATCTAGGCAATTTGCCTTCGTTTTGAGTCGATTCGCTTAAAAATCGTATTGAAATTAATCCATTCTAACTTAGGACTGCAGGACTGCATATATAGGACTGGAGGCGTCATTGATAGGCAATCCCCTCTGTTAAGGTACAGTACAAGCACAAAACAACCATCGCTCAATAAAAACTACTACCAAATCGATATTTCTTCTTTTGAATTCTCTAAGAATTCACCGCGTCAAGTGCTTCATTAAATATGTCGTTTTACAACGTACAAACTTGCAAAAAAATCTTTGCTACATCCAGTTTAGCCAAGAATGGAATTACATTCTATTTATACGTCATTTTTTTACATTAATTACTAGTTTTCTATTTTATCACATTTTTTTCACAGTGATCACATTGATTAAATTTATCGATTACATAAAAACATTTGACATAAGCATAGTTAATAAACATTTGACATAAGCAAGTTCCGTAATTACTGTCAGGCAACCCACAGACAAAAAATGCAATATTTCATGAACGCCGTTTTTTCGCTATAGAGAAGCGAACGTGCTTTTTAGCTCCGATTTTTATCGATAGATTATGCAACGATGTTTATTCAAATTGATTTCTCCGGTATTATATAATAAATAATAATATAATAAATTATAAATAATGATTTTAAATTGTAATTGTTTAAATATAAATCATCATAAATCATGCCGTACTGTAAGAAAAAGAAAAATAAAAAGTACATATACGAATACATACTTACATTCAATACACATAAATTACATAAGCAATCAAAATAACCAAATAGCTAACTGTCCCACAAGCGATTGAAACATTTAGATTTAGAACCAAGAAACCATAGAGTTTATTTAAGGTTAATCTTATTTTTAAAATGACTTTTTAATAATATGAATAACTATTATTATTATTATTATTAGGGTGGCTTCATTTAGGGCCTATGCATCCCCTCATCACTGCGACCATTGACTGATCTATTGTGATCACCACTAATTACAGTGCAGAGCCAAGACCGATAGCATTGAAAAACTGAAGGACTTTCCTGGCTCCGACAGATTTAATGTCATCTGGTTGTGGCATGTGCCTTCCCAGTACGGAACTTCGTACGCCCATCACGGGGTAGCATTAGGTGAGTAGATGAAAAGGAGTTTCATCCTCCGTGTGGCAGAATCTACATTAAATGATTATCACTAATATCAGGTTTCCTACCACGGTATGACTTCTTTTTAGTTTCCCGATATTTCGGAACGGTTGCACGCTCCATGGTCACGGGTCGGGAAAATAAAAAGAAGTCATACCGTGGTAAGAAACCTGATATTAGTGATAGTCATTTAGTGAATAACCACGAAAGTCTTAAAATCTATATAGAATCTACATTCTCTATTTTCTCTCTGCCCAATATTTGACATGTGCTTGTTTAAGCCACAATGCCCTGTTAAGGCTCTACTGAGCATTCTTATGGCATTCCTGTCCAATGACAGCGCTTCTCCACAGTGTTTGGCACTGTAGGCAGATATCAGGGCTTTTGAATGCTCAAGACCCTTGTTCTGTAACTACACTTCTCAAGAGATGTGGGTGCTCTCATTTAGCAGAGTGAGCTTTGCCAGGCTGTATGCTATCCCTATGAAGGGTTCGGATCCAATAAAGGTTTCCCTAGCACCAGCCTTTGCCAGTTCATCCGCTGACTCATTATCCTGGATGTCAGAGTGGCCCGGAACACAGCGCAGTACCACTGTATTACTTTCCCCGCGAGCGTTCAGTATATTTACACAGTTCTCTACAATCCTCGATGTTTGGGTGACTGAGGCTAGTGCATGTAGAGCCGCTTGACTATCTGAGTTTATGTAAATATGCTTGTCAACGTAGCCTCTCTTCAGGTTCAAATCCGCACAAGTAATTGTGGCGTACACTTCGGCCTGAAAGATAGAGGAGTGTCGTCCCATATTCAGCTTGTAGCTGAGCCTGGGTCTCACACCGTGTATACCACAGCCTACGTTGGGTCCCATCTTAGACCCATCGGTATACCATAGAAGGCTACCGTCCTTCCAGGTGAGACTGTTAGTTTCCCAGTCCTCTCTAGTTGGAAATTCTACCTGGTAGAGTTATTTAAAGTTTTGTTTGGTAAGCATGACATCAGAAGTCATTCCCAGAACAAAGTGTTCCAGAATTGAATCTTGGGCTGATCTCAATGACTGGGAGAGCCATCTACTCCTTAACCTAGTGGTAAACCTGTACATGCTGGTACAGGCCTCCCTCTGTATGAATAAATAGCAGAGGAGTCAGGTTCAGCAATACATTTAGGGCTGCCCCAGGCGTATTGGACATGGCTCTCGTTGCTAGCAGGCACGCGATGCGCTGTAGACTACCCAATGTGATAATTGTGGTTGTTTGGCTGACTTTAACACTCCAAGCAACAGACGCGTAAGTCACTAGGGCCTCACAATTGCCTTATATAACCAGAGAGTAATCTTTGGTTTTAGACCCCAACGCTGTCCCGCCATACGGCTACAGATACCTAACACCTAGCAAATGCTCGAACAAAGTCCAAGCATTTACTAGGAGTTGCCCAGGATATACCGGCTCATGTCTTCCCTTCCTATGCAATTGGATTACATAGGAATGGAAGCCATTCGCATGCGTGGAGGTACGCCGTCCTGACATCTCAATAAATAACTAACAAAATATTTTTGTATTTGTTTTCCTGTCTGGAGTTGTCAATCAGAAGTGCGAAAATATATTTGGCCGAAATAGTGTTTGCTCGAATTTTTGTAATGCCAAATGTATTTTTTTAGATTATTTTAGGAATATTATAAAACAAACTAACTTAATCGTTTCATTGTAATAAACAACCAAAATCCCTTGCAAGCGGTTTTGTTATAAATCGGTTTTCGAAATGATGAAACTTTGAGTTTTTTTACCTACGTAAACGTACGTTTTTTACGTACGTACGTAAAAACGTTTACGTTTAGTTGGAATCTAGAAATTCGAAACATCGATACATTTCTTACAGCATGTCAGAACTACCAACAAAGAGACACAGCTATTTTCACATTTATAATATTTGTATGTACCTGTATATCTGTACAACTCTTATTATTAGAAGTGAATTCGAAATTTTTCGAAAAAAATTCAACATAATACTATAAAATTATTGACATTAAGACTAGATCCATCACTCTTGTGTTCAAGTAGAAGCTTTTCACTAGAAGCTAAATATGGTGAATTTTGTTATTTCCAGTAAAAGCCGAACGTGGATAGTTTTTGGATCTTTAAATTGTGGCAAACAAAATTAAACAATACTGCAATGACTTTACAATTTAAATTAAATATTTTAGTTTTTTTTTATTTCTTATACATGTCAATACGTTTGTTAACTCCGTTGGATAACACCGGCCATGCTTGTCATTCATTGGCACCAACGCCGACTACGAAAAACCGGAAAAACTCCGGATATTTTTTCGCGGTTTTTGGATTTGACTTTCGATTGTATTTATTGTCCTCCATTTATTGGTAAGTCAATGGGCAATCTCCTCTAGTAAATACAAGTAAAACAATAGCACTGTTACACTACTCACAAAATTGCAAAAAGTAATCGTCCAGTCTTGTCAAGGGTGGAATTACATTTTTCATATACATGATTAACCAGTACGTAATACGTATCGATACCGTCACGTCTATAACTTTCCGTCTTTAGTATATTCATGAGAATGGATTTATTTTTATAGGCCTGTATTTTATATGGACATGACATGAGTGTGAGTTTTATCCGCGTATTTGTAAAAATAAGCTAGTGATGTCGATATTTGTTTGTGTGAGACCATAGTGACTTTGCGTTTTGCAACTGTAGAGTTGCTTGTGGTACTACCCCCCCGCCCTTCAAAAAGTGCCAGAAAGTTATGTTCGAGAAATAACGCTAATAGCGCCTCCCGTCCTATATGCTCTTAGGGTCGTATTCCAGAACTCTACTCAATGTTCAAGTCAGGACTTGAGTATGATTTAAAGTACTGAAAATCATACTCAAGGCCTTGCCATTAGGGTCGTATTTCCAGTGCTTGAAATCATACTCAAGTCTGCTCAAGTCCTGACTTGAGCATCGAGTAGAGTCCTGGAAAACGATTCTAACATTAAAAAAATCGCTAGATCGTATTCAATTGAATCGATTTCCATAAAAATTGAATCGTATCGTAATGAGCATCACAAATTAGAAAGATATAGTGCTCAAATATAGAGTGTATGAACTATGATATAGTGATTGTGCATCCCTAATTTCATTGTCACGTTTGTTTGCCAAGTGTAAATTAAAATTACCTGTGTTTAATTAAAGATACGAGCGTATTAATCCCGTAATAAACTGTGCCCAGATAACTGCTGTGTTTATTCACGTAGCCCTCGTATGTCTGTACGTGCATTACCTCTTTCGACAAGTGGTCTCGAAGGGACTGTGTTATTCAATTCACTTTTGTGCCATATTTTGCATTGTGTTGGCAATGGTTGATAGCGCCGGAGACTCCGACGTATCGTGGGTCATGTACAGGGACAGGCCGGAATGGAAAGATTTGATTCCATGTCCAGAAAACGACGGTCCAAATCCTGTTGTGGTTATTGCGCATTCGGAAAAATGTAAGTTTTTTATTTTTTATAACACTAAGTGACGAGACGATCAAGCCGTACGCCTGGTTGTAAGCGACAAGCCTATCCACAACAGTTGCAGCGCCACTTAGAGCTTTAAATGGCAAAGATCTTAGACGCATTGCCTCTACGTCAATCACCCTGAGACATACGGTGACAAGTCCTATGTGCCTGTAATTTCACCAGCACCCTAACCCTTCCAAACCGGAACACAATAATGCTCACATTACTGCTTGGGCAGGAACAAGTAAGGTGCCAGCATTTCTTGACATACTCTTTCACAAGGAAATCTATACCACTAAAAGTATTATTTAGATGAATGAAATTAATTAATTTAAAGTAACATGAGGAGGTTCATAGTTGGGCCATTCCAAAGTGACATTTTGACTCCTTTTCTCTTGAACTTTAACTATATTCTCCCTAACCATTGGTTAATTAGACTTAAAATGAAAATATGAAGCCAGATATACAATTCAACTGCGATAAAATTACACTGTTTAATATGAGATCCATCGTTAGTAAGCAAATATTTTATAATTTTTGTCTTTCAAGACATTTTAACAAAAAAAAAACAGAATGAAAGAACTGATAAAGTAATCCTATTATTTTTCTTGGAACACTATACTATGATGACATGAAATGAAACTCACCCATTTAAAATGTGTTAATAAATTTGAAAAATCCTGCTGCATCCTTGAAGATTATGTATCATATCAAAATATACCAAATTTTAGAAGTTTAGCACAACTGATATATAGTTAAAACCAGGGGACAGACTTTTTATGAATTTCCTGATACTAAAAATCATTATGTGTTAAAATGTCTTAATTATGAGAATTATAAAAAATTTGTTTACAAATGATGGATCTACGTATAAACAGTGTATTTAAAAAAATTCTATGTATGCCAATCGTCACAATTTAACGTATCAAATGTTAAACTCCGAAATTAAAGCAAGTGTTACCCTAGTAAACATTCTAAAAACTCAAATCCATGAAATTACAAACATTTATTAATATTAATAACATTTAGAAGTGTGACGTGTGGGACACACTTTCAATTCTTTATATTTACATTTCTACTTACATGCACAATGCCCAACCAAGTGAAAATAATGACCCTTAGCATAATTGTTACTTTTACAAAAGCAAATGCCAATAGATTGCACATTTATTTGTTAAAATAAAAATATATGTTTCATTGTGACGGTTGGGACTTGAAATTAGTATTTATTGAAACTTAAATGGCTCCTCACCATACATACTTCCATGCAATTACTTATCACTGTTTTAAAAGTCGTAAATTGTAGTTTCTTCGACAGTAATAACTTTTTTAGAAAGATGCACAAATAAGTGTGAAAATTGTTGCTAAAATTGTAGAACAAATGCTTCACTATAGACGACGGCGCTATGGCTGCGTTAATGAAGACAAAAATACAATAATTGTACAATATCCGAAAAATTTCATTTATTTCTAATGATTTGATTTATTGGACATATTCTAGTCATACAATTTTTTTTTCATGCAGTTAATTAAAAAAAAGAATTCAACACAAGCGCAGCTATTTTGCATGATTTAACCTTCACTGGGTTCGCGGAGTAGCAAATTAATTTACTTCCATTTTTATTAACATGGACTTCTGCAAAGTAACGCCTGAATCTAGAAATTAATTAAAATCAAATTGTATAATTTATTTTTTGGAACCGCGGTGTCATTTTCACTAGAATGACCCAGTTTCCATTTGCTGTTTAGTGTAGTATACAACTATTATGTGTATTTTTAATTGCAATTAAATGTCATAAGTTGCCACATGTTGAATCATAAGTTTTCATTACCGCTATCATGTTAGTCTATAAAACTCTTGCTGAGCGTAATCATTTTTATAGATTTCCAACTATTTTAAAATATAAACTTCTTTGATTTTCAGTTGAAGATGTGTATGACTACTTCCGAGCTATACTGCGGAAGAATGAGATGTCAGAGAGGGCTCTGCATCTTACTACAGATGCCCTAGAGCTCAATCCAGCTAATTACACTGTTTGGCAGTACAGGTTTGTATATTTTGGTACTAATTGTGTGTTATGGGAATGCTCCCACTACCCAGTGAAATAATTTGAGGCTTAATGAACACATGGGTGTTCTGTCTAAGCTGGAAATTTGCTCACACATAAATTCAAATTCTGTTGCATTAGTTTTTATACCAATGTTGAGATGAGGATGTATTGAGTACAAGATTGAAGAAGAATTAATTAAGTTCTTTTTTTACAAATTTTTATAAATTAAAAAAGATTTCAAAAGGTGGATGAAAATATACTGCACTGACTAATATGAAAAATATAATTTCAGGAGAGATCTGCTGAGAGAGCTTAACATAGATTTAAGAATGGAGCTCGACTATGTAGAAAATGTTATAAAACAATCATCTAAGAACTACCAAGTGAGTAAAACTCAAATATTTGAATCATTAGTAAAACTATTTTTAATCTTTTAATGGCTGTTGACAGTTGCACATTATCAGCAAAGGACTATATTAGTCTAAGCATAGATTTAGTATTAAATCTATGAGTCTAAGCCAGTGGTCGGCAAATCGCGGCTTGTGAGCTACAAATACTTTTTTATTATAGTTTTTTTCCTTTTCTATCTGCCATCCGTTTGCAAAGCCATAATCAGATGGGTTTTCGTAATGGCGATGGAGGGAGTTGCTCCTGCGAGCGTCATGGTTTTATAGTGGTGTTCACATTCGTTGATCTAAGTTTAAGAAGAGCCATTGTTTTAACCACGTTGGGTTTTGTGAATGCAACAGGTTTCTCGCCAATTCGTAGTTCTTTACTTCTTCTTTGATGGTTGGCCATGAATACTGATACTGAAAAACACTAAAAAATTAAAAAACATTTTATTAAATTTGACCAACTTTTACTGTCTCGATTTTTTTCTTCCTGTACAATGAAATTATCCTTACATGACATTGAGTCGATCTGCTACAATTCATGTTTGACCAATAAATTTATTTATTATAATTTACTATTATTTTTATTAGGATGAACTAATTCGGGGCATATGCTGCCCCTCATCACTGCAACCATCAACTGATCCATTGTGATCACCACTAATTACAGTTCAGAGCCAAGACTGAGAAATTTCCCCATATTGTCCAAGTTAAAAATAACACTGTATTGTGTATTATTATTATTATTAGGGTGGCTTACGAGGCCTACGAGGCCCCTCATCATTGCGACCATAAATGATCTATTGTGATCACCACTAACCACAGCTCGGAGCCAAGACCAACAGCATTAAGGAACTGAAGGACTTTCCTGGCTCCGACAGTCTTTATGTCCTCTGGGTGTGGCCTGTGCCTACCCAGTATGGAACTTCTCACGCCCATCAGAGGACAGCACTGGATGAGGAGATGCACAGGAGTTTCATCCGCCTCATGGCAGAATCTACATTCTTTGTTTACTACCTGTCCAATATTTGACATGTGCTTTTATTCAAGCCACAATATCCTGTTAAGGCTCTAGTCAGCATTCTGATGCCATTCCTGTCCAGTGACAGAGCTTCTCTACAGTGTTTGGCACTGAAGGCAGCTATCAGGGCTTTAGAATGCTCAAGACCCTTAGTCTGCAGCCACACGTCTCGGGTGACGTGGGAGCTCTCGTTCAACAAAGTGAGCTTTGCCAGGCTGTGTGCTATGCCTATAAAGGGCTCAGGACCAATAAAGGGCTCCCTAGCCAGCCTTTGCCAGTTCATCCGCTGCTTCATTACCCTCGATGTCAGAGTGACCAGGAACCCAATGCAGGAGTACATTATTCCTTTCCCCGAGAGTATTCAGTATAGTTACGTAGTTCTCTACAATCCTCGAAGTTTGGGTGACTGAGGTTAGTGCATGCAGAGCGGCTTGACTATCTGAGTTTATATAAATATAATTGGTAACGTAGCCTCTCTTCAGGTTTAGATCCGCACAAGCAATTATGGCCTATATTTCGGCCTGAAAGATAGAGGAATGACGTCCCATGTTCAGCTTGTAGCTGAGTCTGGGTCTCACGCCGTGTATACCACAGCCTATGTTGGGTCCCATCTTGGACCCATCAGTGGCTACTGTCCTTCCAGGTGAGACTGTTAGTTTCCCAGTCTTCCCTGGTTGGAAATTCTACCTGGTTTGGCTTGATGTTTTGCTTGGGAAGCATGACATCAGAAGTCATTCCCAGAACAGGATGTTCCAGAATTGAGTCCTGGGCTGATCTCAATGTCTGGGAGAGCCATCTAGTCCTTAACCTGGTGGAGAGCCTATACGTGCTGTTACCGGCCTCCCTCTCTATGAATACATGCAGGGAAGTCAGATTCAGCAATGCATTTAGGTCCTCTCCAGGTGTAGTGGACATGGCTCCCGCTGTTAGCAGGCACGCGACACGCTGTAGACTGCCCAATGTGAAAATAGTGGTTGTTTGACTGACTTTGCCACTCCAAACAACATACGCATATGTTACTATGGGCCTCACAATTGCCTTGTATAACCAGAGAGTCATCTTTGGTTTAAGACCCCAACGCTGTCCTGCCATACAACTACAGATACCTAAGGCCATCTTGGTTGTTGACCATGTTAGCTATATGACAGTTCCACCTTAGGATTCAATACTCAATACTTTATTGCATACCATAATGTTATATACAAGGTGGTAGGTAACATAAATTAAGTTCATTATGGATCCTGTAAGGGCACAGCAAATGACAAAAGTCTGATTAAATTAAACTAATTCGAACCCTATTGTATTTACTAAAGCCTTAAGATTATAACAGGTACGTCTTGCTCATAGTGCATTTGCTGAGATTTTTTTAACATAACCATTAATATAAATTTTCTGTCACAATAATATAATTTATTAAACATATTATCTGTATTATGTATTAAATACTATAATTATGTATATTATTAATTGGACATGTCCCTATTATCTAAGTATTCATGTACTGTATAGTAACTTTTAGCCACTAAATATGTTTTTAACGCTTTTATAAATTTTTTTTTGCTTGTTTCTGTTTTTATTATGTTTGGTAATTTGTTATAAATTTTAATTGACATTACAAACAGACTTGATGAATGCAATGTTAATCGCGAAGCTGGTAGTATTAATCTGTCTTTGTGTCGGAAGGAATAATTACTCGGAATGTCTTCGCTGCAAAGCGCGACAAATTGAATTTTTTTCTGACGAACTTACATATTTCCAGGATGTATATACACGGTAAAGTAAGAATTTTGTGCTGTTGGAAGAAAGGTTTGCAACTGTCGGTCTGTTTTATATTTACGAGAATTTTGACAAGCTTTTTCTGAAGAGTAAACAGGGTTTATGTATCTGTACTGTTACCCCATAGGATGACACCGTAACTTAGCTAAGCATAAGCGTACGAATAGTAGGTGGTCAGTGCTGTTTGTATGTTCGTGGTTTTTTTTATTTCACGGAATACATACGCGAAACTAGATATTTTACTACTTATTTTATTAATGTGCGCTTTCCAATTTATGTTTGTGTCCATAACTATACCTAGCAATGTGAAGTGGCTGACTTTTTCTATATCTATGTTATTGAATTTGAAAGTTATGCTTGTCGGTTGTTTCTGATACGGGTGGAATGTCATTAATTTGGTTTTTTTGAAATTTATTTCTAAGTTGTGTTCCTCCATCCAGCTTGATGTTTTTTCAAAAATAGAATTGAGCTTTAAGTTTAGGTTTGCATTATTCTGGCATGGGTTGAGTATGGAGATGTCATCAGTGAAAAGTACACACGTCTCTTTTATTACTTTTGGAAGGTCATTGATGTATATTAGAAATAAAAGACATTCGATGACACTTCCTTGGGGAATGGAAGCATTGGTAAGTATGCCTTCCGATCGTACATTTTCTATTTTGCTTTTCTTTTGATTGATTTTTTTACAAATTGCTCTCTATCTTTTAAATATGATGCAAACCATTTATGAGTTGTTCCTCTTATTCCTATTCCGTATAATTTATTTAGTAGTATATCGTATTGCACTTTATCGTAGGCCTTAGCCATGTCCAGTAAAATAAGTATCGCGTAGTGTTTGTTATTTACTAACTGCCTCCGTGGCCGAACGGTTACCATGCCGGACTGCCACGCAGAGGTCTCAGGTTCGATTCCCGGGTCGGGAGAAATATTAATATGGCCTACATTTATTTCTCTCGTGAGTTTGGGTGTAATTTGTGGTTGTCTCGTGTGTGTCCATGGCACCCGCGACACAGGGTATCCCTAGTGCAGGGCTATGTTGAGTGGGTACGTTATTATTTTCTATTATATATATATATTTACTATATTTAAAATTTGTTGTATGTATTTGTACACCGTTAATGCTGTGCTTAGTTTTTTTCGAAATCTGTTTGGCAGTTGTCAAAAATTTTATATTTCTCACAGAAGGAGTACACGCGGTCACACATGACTTTTTGGAAAATTTTTGAAGCTGTGGGTAAAAGGGCAATGCGTTGATAATTATTAGGATTCGAATTAGATTTTTTTTTGAATTTAGGTTTTATTATAGCCTTTTTTAATAAATAAGGGAAAACGCCTTCATTAAAGGATTTATTGATTAACATACAAAATGGTGTAGTTCATTCGTCTGCACACTCTCTGATTAAGGTGGGTGATATTTCGTCTATTCCATAACTTTTCTTATTTTTTAGGTTTTTGTAATTTTGTGGATTTCACGGTAATCTACAGGAGTTAAAAACATTGTATTTTCGGTTTGGCACATTACGGGGCGGCCGCGAGGTCTATTTTCATTTTACTTGCTTTAAAACAATGATTAAATGTGTTAACTATTTGTTTTGGATCACTAATTTTAATATTGTTACAGTTTGATTTTAATGTTATGTTATTTTCTTTTTAATTTGTTTTTTATTAATTCGCTCGTTTATAACACGCCACATTGCTTTTACCTTATTGTTGGATTTATTTACTTTTCCAATGAAATGCATTTTTTTCGCGGTATTTACTAACTTTTTTAACAATTTTTCATATTTCTTGTAATATTCTGTCATTATTGGATTGTTTCACTTTTGAGTTAGAATTTTTAACAATCTTTTACTTTTGCATGATATTTTTATACCAGCCGTTAACCAATATTTTTTATAGTTATTTTTTAATTTAATATTACGTACTATACAGGAGTTGATCCACAGCAAGAGTCCAAAGGAGAGGAGAAATTACTCCACCTTGCGGGCAACCCCTTACTGTGGAGGCCACAAGCCGGTCCCCGTGGAACGAGATACTGGCTCTGCGGCTTAAGAGCATATTTTGCACCCATCTTGTAGTAGAAGTGGCTACACCTTTGTAGGGTAGTCCCTTTACCAGAGTACGAATGGGCCTATTGTCAAAAGCACCCTCTATGTCTAGAAAGGCACATAGTGCTATTTGTTTGTCCTCAAACGCTCTTTCAGCCCTGTCCACAAGGTGGAACAGAGCTGTCTCTGTGGATTTTCCACTTTGATAGGCGTGTTGAGTGTGATGGATAGGCAGAGAAGTTCTGCTTTGTGTTTCAGTGTTAGATCTTCCGTGGGGCTGTTCTTTTGTCCAGGTAGATAGGCTGAGCGTAAGATTATCTTAGCCTGAGGGCTATTCAGGGGAAATAAATATGCTGCTACAAAGTCGTCAGTACAGAACTCTGGAACAGGCATAAGGTTAATGTTTTTGTTATAAACAATGCAGGCTGCTACGTGGAGGACGAGGCCGTCCTCGTGAGCCTCGCGGGTTGGCAGCCCCGCGCCCTTGCACTCCTTCACGTGCCGTACTACGGCCACGTAGGTACGGTGCTGAAAACCACGGTCGTGTACCCCCCAGATCGTCATTTAGTGCCATTGTAGCAGATTTTGGTCGAGCCGCTCCAGTACTGGCACTTGTTGTTGGCTGCGCTGTTTGGACTCCCAGGACAGTGGGTGCTGTCCGAATGTGCCCCACCTCCCGTCCGCGATTTTTGCGCGATGCACCCAGAGTCGCAGACGGGGCAGCCCCGTCACGTTTTCCCTGGTCCGTGGAAGACGGGCCAGGCGCGGGCTGCGCTGAGGTTCCCGGCCCCGATTCCTCGAGCGGACTAGTAACCGAGGCACCCCGCGTAGTGCCGCCGCTGAAAGTGCTTTCCGGACGCCCCTTGATCTTAAACGTGACCTGCTTAAAACCAAGGTGTGCCCGGCAATTTGAGACACGGAGATTCTCCACAGATGGGTCATCAAGAGCAAACGCGACTACCCATCCGTTCACATCTTCCCTTGCGTGAAGAATCTTCCATACCTCAGTGCGAAGACCTCTATTTTGGGGCCCCAGCAGGCTGATGGCCATCTGCACCGACTCACATCCCGTCTTGGGAATGTAAGTGGTGGTGATGGTGGGCTTCGGAAGATCGCTTTCCTTAATCAAGGACTGCTGGGCTTCCGGCCACGGCTTCAAATTGCCGATCTTTCCCACAAGCCAGTCTGCACTTGCTTGGTCCTTGCAGGTCACAAGAATCCAGCCTGGCTTGCGAGAGAGGCCCAGGAACTTTGGTCCCTCGCCATGCGCTGTTGTGCTCGCTATGGTGCGGCCCAGAAACAGCTCCAACAGCTCCATTTGCTCCTCTGACATGGGTTCCGAATTCCGGATACCCACGCGCAGGGAGCCCGCCATTTCGCTGAAAGTTGGTCTGTTCCTGCTTTCAGCTGACGCCATGGTCCTTCCCAGGCTCCCGCCTTCCTTACGTGCTCCTGTGGCAACACCTCCTCTGACCGTCCACGCTTTTGCGCTTTCGGTGTTGGAGATGGTTTAGGTACCGGAAGTTCACTCCAGGGCTTTTCAGATAGAGGCAGAGCTTCTCCGTAGCTCATACCTGTTCTCATCAGACTGGTGGATTCCGACACCAGGGGATCCGAAAGACCCTTTTTATTGCTGGGTGGACTATCCATCCCTAATCATCTAAATTAGATCTGATTGTGACAGCCAATAGCGCGCGCTTATTTCAATTTTATCGCGCGCGTCGCGACTATCATGCGTAGCTATGCTACGGGAGCTGTAATAGGTATTTCTCCATAGTAGGACAGCGCCTTCTATGCTGAAAGAAATACTGAAATTGATTGTCACTATACAGTCTGCACAAAGTTTACTTAAATCATGTGCAGTTTGCTAATTATATCACTTTTACACTTTATATCACTGTAAGTAGGTAAGTTGATTTTTTAATTTTGTAGTAATTGATTGATAATTTGATATTACTATTCCACACTGTTTTTGGAACCTTAGTGTTTCCAATATGTAAAATATTATAAAAGTGTAAAAAGTGGATTTTGCATGTTATAAATGATTAGATGCAGTTGGTTATTACTATCTGTGAATTAATTTATTAGATTGAATGTAACAACTGATAACACTAGTGTTAAGGTAAAAATCAAGTAAAAAAAATTAGTAAAAATTATACACTGATAGCTTTTAATTGATTATTCCAGGTGTGGCATCATCGAAGAGTTGTAGTGGATTGGCTGCAAGATCCATCCCGTGAATTGGAGTTAACAGGAGATGCACTCATTCAAGATCCTAAGAACTATCACGCTTGGCAACATCGTCAATGGGCCATCAAAACATTTTTGTTAGTATATTTGTCTTACACGATAGGAAACTTTTTATAGTTATAATTTTAAACACACTGAAGTACAGGAGACAAGTTTTCGGAGAACGTGACTAGTTTTTTGTTTACTGTTATGAATTGGAGTTGATATCTAGATATTAATATATGGTTCTTAGGTTTACGCGATAGTTATACAAATAATTAAACTATTTTTTCGGATCGAAATCGCGTATTTTTGTTTTTTTAAACTAACCAACTGGAAAATAATTGTTGTAACTAGAGTGAAAAATAAAGCGGTTGGCATTCATATTAGACATATCTGGTTAATGACTTTACCATCTCAGTCAACCGTGACCATGCGACCTGTAAAGGGCCTGAATTGGTGGTTTGTTCGAAAAAAGAAATATACGCGATTTAGACCCGAAAAAATAGTTCAATTTCCTAGATTACATTAATCATTAAAAAATTATGTGAACCTTCTCTGTCTTAGGCTTCTTCACAATGTTTACTTTCAGCTTTTTAAAGTATATAATATAAGTCCATATTAAGCAGCTTTGAATAACATCTATAAAACTCTTTTTTTTATTAATTTACAGTCTCTACGACAAGGAAATGTCTTTTGTTGAAGAATTGATAAACGAAGACGTTAGAAACAACTCGGCGTGGAATCAGCGATACTTCTTGATGAACAACCACGACGGCTGGAGCGACCTTAATGTTCAAAGAGAAATATGCTATACACTAGGGAAGATTAAGTTTGTAAAAAATAATGAAAGTGCATGGAACTATTTAAGAGGAGTCCTATTTCACGATAAGAGAGGATTAAGTGGTAATGCTGTTGTAACTAACTTTTGTGAGGAGTTGTACAAAAACAAATGTCGATCGCCTTACTTGCTGGCATTTATTGTGGATGCTTGTGATGAGGCAATAAAAAAAGACGACACTAGTTGCTTCCATAATGTTGACCGAGCAATAGATCTATGTCAGGCTTTAGCAGGAAAGTACGACAAGTTTCGGAGTAAATACTGGAACTACATGTGTGAAAGGTTTAAGAAATATCAAATTTCAATGAAACCATGTTCTGAGAACAACGTAGATAATAACGTTACGTAGAGAAGTGTTTTTTAATTTTTTAATAGCTAGCAAAATAAATAATATGACACGACAAGCATTAACTTAATTGTGTTCATTGGCGTCGATTCAATCCAACGCAATCCAATGTCAATGCAATCTCTGACTCTTTGGTTATCTTGATGACCTTAAACATAATGTTTGTATCACAAAATTTTTAATTTGCATAAATTTCACATCTTTTAATTGAATTCTGCTAATCTTTTTAGTGCTAGCGAAAGAGACAGATTGCTCTGATCTTAAGATTAGTTTGCGTTTGTCTAAATCTACGCCAATGTCTAACCAACTGTTTGATATAATTTTAAATGCTAAATAGTTTCAAAGAATTTAAATGTATTATGTACTTACTTGTAATTTTAAATGTTTCTAAAAACATGAATGCAAAAAAATTATAAAAGAAAAAAATGAAAGTTATGCGAAATTTATTTCATATATTACGACATTGACTGTATAGCGAGGAAATAAATGTTGTGTATTTTAATGGTTACTTTTATTTTCGGTTAATTCGGGTGCTGTTTCAATGGATTCCTCATCTATAGTAGATTTTTGGGCGTTCATGTTGATAGTTTCGCGTAGGTCTCTTAACCCGATGTGATGGTGTACACCGCCGGCGCCGACTGATCGGGCGATCAGCTCACACGCGCAGTCCTTATCAGCAATCATTTCGAGAAGACTTGGCTTCTTCCTTTTAAATTTCGGCAATGGCGACCTTTTAGGCAGGCCGCATTCATACTTTGGCTGATGTTTCTTACATACGTCGTCGTCTGCTAGTTTAGGCCTTGGTTTTAATTTTCGTTTGGGCATAGAAATTGGTACCACATCTTCAGGTTTTCCATAGGGACAATGTCTTACTGGACAAAACTTGCAGTCGCAGGGAGGCTACAAATAAGAAGATGAATTTATATATAGAATATGTAGGTATACCCATTCATATGAAAAAATATGGGGACCTCTCACACAAAATAGCGTTCCATATAGGTACGTATAGGTCGTACATTATAATAACTTATGTAAGTTCAAGAGCGACGTTATACCCGAGACGGGCCTGCTTTAGGGTTTTTCTTCATAGCTTCTTTCAAGTGCTATTGCCCGAAACATCTATGTTTACCATTCCCATGTGTCTGCCAGCAAAAGTTAATCATGGTGATGTTATTATTTCACATTATGATCGGTTTGCAGATTTGCATTTGTCTTTATGAGTAGTCGGTTCATTTACATTTTACTACATTGACACCACATATAATAATGATCAATTTATTGACACAATTGTCTTATTGACAATTAGACCTCTGTTACATTGACTTGACTTAAGATTTCTTGCCACATTTGGATTGGTGATTGTTGGTGCATTAGAGGATGAGGTTGGTGCAGATCTAAACATTGACAAATCCATAGGACGAAACTCAATATCTATGCCGAATAGGTTACAATTATCTAAGAGCGGATACACTCGGCGACTTTACACACGCGCGTTTTTAAGCAGCGATGCATGCGCGCGACGGCATCGATATAAACGCGCGATTGCTTCACTACACTTGGGATATAAAGGCAATTGCATCGATGCAATCGCACGTTTGTATCGACGCAGTCGCGTGTTTGCATCGATGCAATCGCCTATACAAACGCAAGTGTAGCGATGCAATCGCGCGTTTCACGAACGCGCGTTTGCATCGTTGCTGAAAGTCGCCGTGTGTAACCACTCTTACATTTCCTGTGTATGTCTTCCTCCTTTTACAATCTATGCTTGACACTGTAAATTGTCTTCGGCTTTTTCTTTTTGGTAAAGAAGTAAAATCTTAAAATAAAAAAATTTTAAATTGAATCGATGGGGATATAACTAAGGTTTTTTTTCTAAGGTCAACAACATTCAGAACAACTTTCAATAAGTGAAATATAATGGCGAAAGAATTACGATAATACAATGTGAAACTTTGTTACTATTCCACAGTGGCAATAATTTCGTCGCATCACAACCTTCTCGTTATTAATCACAAACTGAACATTATCTATTGTAATTTTATTGAATTCGTACAGTATCGACGAAAGAATACACATATATAAAATTAAATAAAAGTAAATGAAGAAACTTAATACACAATATTATCTTCCCACTCAATGTCCCAAGTTTCAGTGTCCGGGTGGACAAGTTTCTTAATTCATGATGTGGAAGACAGAGTCACGGCATTGCCTCGATGCATGGGAGCCCTTGGAACTACGCACGCTGAAACTGAAATTGGCGAGTCTAGATAGCAACTGTAGGTGTAGTTCAGGTTATTACGAGTACCATCCAATTACATCATATACAAAGGAATCAACAAGTAATACCATATATCGTTTGGACCAAAATATACAAACAGTGGATTATAAGGACACTAACTCATTTGATCCAATAAAAGTAACTTGCGATAATTTTACAACCAACGAATTCAGCTCCAATATTTACAAAAGTAATGATATTTGCCCTGCCTGTTATTTTACTCAAAACATGTTCAGAGTAGTACCAATCAGAATCTTGAAAGATGAAGAGGTTGAAACAAAAATTGAAATGTTTTCGTGCGACAAGTCTACAAGTAAGACCGTTCAGTCACTGGAGGCAGGCACGTCGTTAACGTTCAAACCAGTTTTGAAATCTTCGTGTTTGTCTTTCGGTAATAATAATAACGAAAGTGTGCTTGATCAAAACAAAGGCATTTCACACAGAGAAGTGACGTTTGCGCTAGAGGACCAGAATCCAATTTTAGCCAATATGAATAACTTTGTAACTTTAAGATCAATAAAACCACCTAACACTTATTCTCACTGTGCATGTGCAAGGATAATAGATTCGATCAGGCCACATTGTGCATGGTCGAAAACACGTGAAGTTTGAAACTTAAAACTCTATGCTGCTTGTGATAATATAACGGTTTCAGAAATTACAAAGTTTTAAGCTTGATATAATTTTAAGCTTGATATTTGAATGTTCGCATTAATTTTTGAAACGCTTACAAAACTATAGTATAATTAAATACTTAAAGTAGGTAATTGGCTATAATTTATTATACTTTACATCTGCGCAAACAAAATTGTCATAATTGTCAAATTAAGTAAATTGTCTTAATATTTTCATTATATAGTATTACAGCAGTAGCGAATACATAGATTATTATTAATTAATAATTGTGGTAGGAATGAAACGAAACTATCTTTTATATATTCATGCATTCATGCCATGGTATTTTCATTGGGATAGGCTGGAACTATTCTATCGCCATTTTACATGATCTTGACAAACTTAGAATTTCAATCTTCAAATAACATCTAAATATTAAAAGACAATTTTTCACAATATTAATTTATTGAACAATTTATGTGGCTGCATAGTGCTTAATAAACCTGGCTGAAGGATCTGACACTTGTACCCATTTGGGCATCCAATAGTACGGCGTAAAGTTATGTTGGCCTGGAAATGATTTCTCAAATACATATCGGTAATATTTGGATTCGGTCGTAGTTGGCTGCACACCTGGGTACTGCTTGCTCTCGTCTGACAATCTTTCCGCAATTATTTCTCCTATAGTGGTAAACAGCGATTTTTTTACGGACGCTACCCCATCACTGAAAGCTTCTTTGTGACGCCAAAGAATGGAATCTGGCAATAGACCACTCTTCGCAAAACTGCTCCGTAACAAATGTTTTTCAACTCCATTTTGGGGTTGTCGCAGTTTGGGGTCTATACTTAAGTAATGGTTGGTAAATTGTATATCTAAAAACGGTACGCGAAGTTCTAGACTGAATGCGCTTGTCGTGCGATCAGCTCGCAGTCCATCGTAAAGATAAATGTCCGAAAGGAGCCGCACGCTTTCATCGTGACCAGCAGACGCAGACGGCGCATCTCTAAAGTAAATATACCCTTGTGCGAGTTCATCAGCACCTTCTCCACTAAATATTACAGTAGAGTCTGTGTTCTCTTTAATGTATTTAGCAAGAAGGAACATGGGTAGACTAGCACGTGTGGTAGTAATGTCGTACGATTCTAGATGATATATTACGTTGTCTAGCGCTTGCCTGACATCATTTTCGTCGAATGTAACTTCATGATGTTCAGTGCCCAGGTAATCGGCGACCGTTCGAGCAGCTACTAGATCAGGTGATTCGCCCATTCCTATAGCGAATGTTTGTATTTTATATGGTAACTTATACTCCTTGGCTAGCTTGACAACCAAAGCTGTAATCAAGGAAGAATCCAATCCGCCACTTAAAAGACAACCAATTCTTCTATCTGACATTAACCGCTTACGACATGCAGCTTCTAATAAATGTGCAGTTTTTTCGTACACGTTCAGTTTTGCTAGATCGTCTTCGGAAACATATGGCACAAATTGCGGTGGCATCCCCGGTTTGAAGTATTGTTCTGTATGCTCCACTTCTACTTTTCCGGATTCTAATATACTCCAAGTTTCAACATGTCCCGGCGGAAATTGACCTAAGGTGGAGCATTCGCTGCCTTTCTGTTTTAGGCCTATGAGCCCTTTGGCCTCTGAGGAAATTGCAATTACTCCGTTCGCAGTATCTTGAAATTTGAAAAGAGGACGCACACCGTACGGGTCTCTCGCGATGTGAACCTTCTTTTTTTCGCCGTCGATTAAACAGAAAGCGAACACTCCGTCGAGTTTCCTGACCGTTTCGGCGATGCCAAAGTTTTGATATGTGTGAATGATTGCTTCCACATCGCAGTTAGTTTCGTAGGGGTAATCGTGCTGCTTCTGAAGTCGCTTGCAGTTGTAGATTTCACCGTTGCAGATGAGTGTAACTCGAGGGTGGCTGTGGAGGCGCATTGGTTGCATGCCATGAAGGCCGTCCACAATAGCGAGTCGCTGGAAGCCAACAATGACTAGCTGCTCTCGTGCATCCTGTTCAATACGCCACGCGTCCGGTCCGCGGTGTACAATCGCCGAGAAACATTTAATGCACGTGGGGCTCAAACCTCCAACTACGCCAAATGTCGCCCAAATGCCACACATCGCAACTCACCTGAAAATTAATATTACAAAATCAATTTCGAACATAATCAACAGCTACTAGCCGCGTAACGAAAGCGAACACATATTTTATCGATAGAAATAGCATTCCTAGGATATATTGACCGTTCATGTTGGAACATTTGTGTGAAACCGAAAATATAATATTTATTCGTTTCTGAAAATGTTATTTATGTCTCATTAATTAAAGGATTTTATCATAAACAAAGGAACATTATATATATACTTTTATGATTTAGGCTTACCTTGGTTGAAAATTCCTTATTTAGTAGAGAATCGGCTAAATTAATATATTTCAGCCACTAGAGTGTTGCTATTGCCACTGCCTAGTGTCAACTGTCAGAACCACGCGCTCGAATGCTTTTAAGTTTCGCGTATAGCAAATGACATTATGACACAGAGTTCTTTGTGTAGCTCGAGGTATATAACCCGCTATTGTGCGCGGTATATCGAGACTGGAACACATTAGCTAAAGGGAAACCGGTATTGAACACAGTGTATTAACCAGACGATTATAAATATCACCGGCAGATGAGATGCATATAAGTATCTATCAATGAGTAAAAAAAGGACAGAGGTAGTCGTGAACGCTTTCATTTTTAGCTGAGAATCATACCAATATTTGTGAAGTATTGCATCATCTGTTTCATGGCTGTTTCTGTTTTGTTTAGTTTATGCCGTAAGATCAATTTAAGCGCTACGTAACTTTATAATACATAAGTTTTGCTGACATATCGGCAAACTTGGGCATTTATTGAGAACGTGTTGACTAAGACGGTCAACATGTTTGATACTTAATATGATCCATTAACTATTATGACGGCGCCAAGCCACAGGTATGCGGTATCTAACAAATGAACGAAATGTTTACGCTTAGGTACGCTATTTCTTTTATAGTCTGTTAGGCTGCCACTCTGTCGACATAAAAAACTAAGTAGTACCATAACAATTTATATTACCCATTCATAGTTTGTTTTCATACCATTCTTTGGGGCTCTAATTATTATAATAGGTGTACCGTTAATTGTTCTAATGATCACCGCCTGTTTTAAAAAAAGTTCTTACATACGTATACTTCACGCTTTTTTTCCTATCGGAGAAAGTTTTTAATGTATGTTTTTAACGAGTTCTCAGGTTTTCGCGATTGTTACACATAGGAAATGAAACTATTTTTCCGGATTTAAATCGCGTATATTTGTTTTTTCAAACAAACCGACGTTTCGGGCCCTTTACAGGTGCCATGGTCACGGTTGACTAATTTAAATCCGGAAAAATAGTTTCATTTCCTTATGTTTTTAACATTTTATTTCTGAATCTTATTTCTACCTAGGTAGGTGCTTATTATTATTTGCATTCGCAAAAATTCGAAGTACTTGTCTTTTTGTATAATTTTTTCATTACCTTCGATGTTTTCTTATACTGGGTCTACGAATAAATATTTTATGGATATGAACCCAAACTGAATACTGTATTTACCCAATACTGTATTTCTCGATGCGTATGAGACGTCTTTCACTGCAAGATCAAGGACGAAGTTTGATAATAAAAATTAATCTAAGTTTATTGTGAAGACCATTTCAGCCAAAAAATCATACGATTTACCTATTCACATTATACTCTATACCGGGTGGAAATTTGTAATGCCACCTGGAGGGAAAGTACTCTAAATACTGGAGATAGAAATTTTTACTTAAAGGAAACATTCCTTTATTTTTTAAAAGAAATAAAACTGCATTCATAGATTTTCGAAAATTTCTAGCGTCACGCGGGAATCGAACCCGCTTTAATCTAAAAAAAATAGCCCCCTGCACTTTTATTGCATCGATCGACAGGGTTAATTATAAGAATGAAATCTCTCTCACAAAATTGATTAATTAAATGAAAAAAAAACCATGAAATTTTAACGTATTTTAATAAATCGAAAAAATGGCGGCTGGCGTTCCGCAGGGTGGGGTTTTATCACCTATACTTTTTTCCGTCTTTATCGGTGGAATTACATCATCACTCACGTCTTCTTTCTATCTCTATGCCGATGACCTTCAAATCTATACTGCAGCCCGTCTTGAAGATGTAGTTACTGCTATCGGAACATTGAATTCCGACCTCCAAAAGGTTTCGGTATGGGCTAAGAACTACGGACTTCTTTTAAATGCACAAAAGTCCCAAGCCATAATTATTGGCAGTCGCCATTCCATCTCCAAGTTTGAGTCTATGGTGATGCCCAATTTAGTTTTGAATGACACCATTATTCATTTTTCCACTTCAGTTAAAAATTTGGGCATCGTAATGGGTCAGATACTTTCTTGGTCGGAGCATGTCGCCGATGTAAGTCGTAAAATCTTTGCATCACTTCATTGCCTCAAGCGGATGCAGTACTTTCTTCCTCTGTCTACCAAATTTATGCTCATACGCACTCTTCTTTTTCCTATTCTGGACTATTGTGACGTCTCCTATCTTGATCTTTCGGAGAACCTTAATAAATTGGAGCGGCTGCAAAATCAATGTATCAGATTTGTGTTTGGATTGAAAAAGTACGACCACATTTCCAAGTTTAGAGATGAGTTGAAGTTGTTGCCTATTCGTTTACGTAGAAATGCTTCACATCTTATGCTTCCTCTATAAAATCCTGTTCCATCCCACTTCACCTAGCTATCTACGTGAGCGTTTTCAATACCGTCAGGCTATGGCTATGGGTGACCGCTTGCGTTCTGGCACCAATTTGTCCCTCGTCCTTCCACAACACAGTTCCCAAAAATATTCGAACTCGTTCACAGTAAATGCTGCCCGTATGTGGAACCTTCTCCCGGTCGAGGTCAGACAGTCGCCTTCGGTTCGGGTTTTCAAGAGTGCTCTTTTGAAGTTTTGGGATTGTTCAAACTCCACATGTTAGAGCTTTTGAAATATTTATTTACATTTGATATATTTATTTATAGTTTTATTAGTACATTCATTTTATTATAGACTTTGTATGTATTAATGTATCAACATTACTTAATATATATGTATTCGTATGTACATTTGATTTATTAAATTTATCTGTGTATTTATTGAGTATAGTATATTCCATTTCTTTACTTATCTATTTTTAGTGCCACCCCAAAAAAACAACTTTCCTCTCAGATTTTCAAAGGTTAGTTGGAAGAAATCTCTTTATTTATATATTCTCGCCTTTGTACACAAGTATTTAAATTGTTTCTGAAAATTTGTAAGTTACTTGTGGTACAATAAAGTCTTTAAATAAATAAAATAAAATAAAAATTAAAATATAAATAATCTAACTAATTAGTTGCTCGAAATGAGCTCCATTTTCTTGGATACACAAATTGAATCTTTTAACGAATTCATTTTGAGTAACTTTTAATAACGTGTTGTGATGAATTGTATTACAAATCGTATTCTGAACCTCACCTTCAACTCGTTTACACTTGTTATTTAAACAATAAGCCTCCATTAAATCAAATTGTTCTTGATATGCCATTTTTACGATGAGATAAATATGAAATTTATTTATTTATAGGACAACTATCAGTACTTAGAAAGGATATGTAAAAACCATTGACTTACAATATAAAAACAATCAAATGGAAATAACAAAAGACAATCCATTTTCAAATGAAACATTCCATATTTAAATTACCTCATGCCACTGACCAAAGAGCATTACAAACATGTGCAAATTGCAATCTTCTTATCTAAATAGTATTTCGTCATTTTAATGGACAAATGACGTCAACGATAATTAACAAGTAATCTGATGGACCGTTGAGTAAAAGTGCTTTAACTTGACCCATTGAATTTATAACTCCAGATTTCATCCTCATAATTGATCCTATCGATTGATTTAATAAAAGTACAGGGTGCATTTTTTAAAAGATTTTAGCGGGTTCGATTCCCGCGTGTGGCTAGCAATTTTCGAAAATCTTTGAATGCAGTATTATTTCTTTTTAAAAATAAAGGAATGTTTCCGTTAAGTAAAAATTTCTATCTTCAGTATTTAACGTACTTTCCTTCCAAGTGGCATTTTGACAAATTTCCACCCTGTATATAAAGCTACAAGTTCTTACTCACTGATAGAAATAGAAAGCATACTTCCCGATATGGTAGAAAAAAGATATTTATACCGTTGTACTCGGATAGGCTCCAAAGCAAAGAATCAAATATGAGAGGACCTGAATATGGAAAATATGAAAGAGTGATTACCGGCCAGCAAAAACTATAATATATAGAGGGAATATTTGTGCATTTTTATGAGGTAAACCCTGGTCAATTTCCGCGGGAAGTAAAAAATGTTCGAAATTCAAATAAACAAGATGGCCGCCATACAAATTTCAAAGCCTTCTTTCACGGAAACTATTACAGATAGGTAGGAGGTGCTCGAAGGAATGTCATAGAGAGTAACACTGGTCAACTGCCTGGGTTAAAAAAAACTCAAGAAGGCGATTTCAAAATGGCGGCCGAAGAAAAACTTGCTTCGATCCGGCGGAGAATTGACATGCAAAGGTCTTTAGGAGTCCTTAATCATAATTTGGGGTCAAAAGTTTCTTTTCGCCATTTTTAATATGGCTGCCATATAAGTGTTTTTTTTTTTTCGTTGAAAATAGCTGCCGGTAAAAATTTGCTCTGATTCGGTTGAAAATTGGCATGTGAAGGCCTCTAGAAGTGCCGAATAATAATTTTTGCTCAAAATTTGTTTTTCGCCATTTTTTAATATGGCCGCCAAACAATTGTTTATAAAAATTCGCTCTAATTCATCTGAAAATCGTTATGTGGGGTCTTTATAGATTTTTGATAATAATTTGTGGTCAAAATTTATTTTTCGCCTGTTTTCAATATGGCTGACATACAAATTCTTTTAGCGGCAGATAAAAAATTGCTCTAATTGGATTGAAAATGGACATGTCGGAGTCTCTATGAATGTTTAATAATAATTAGCGGTCAAAATTAGTTTTTCGCCATTTTTCGCTATGGCTGCCATACAAACTTTTTTGGCGATAGATAACAATTTCTTCTGATTCGACTGAAATCGGCATGGCTTCAATCATAATTTGGGGTAAAAATTTTGTTTCCGCCGTTTTTCGATATAGCCGTATTTTTTTATGTAAATGGCTGTTGAAAAAACTTGCTTTGCTCGGACTGAAAATTGGCACGAAAAGAATTCTAAGATTGTTTGATAATAATTAGTCAAAATATATTTTTGCAATTGCAAATATAAAGGCCATATTTAAAGGCCGCCATTATAGAGCTATTTCAATTTTTTTAAAACAAAACTGTTAGTGCCAAGGCCGTAGGCCGAGGACGAGTCCGCACGCCATCGCAAGGAAGTAATATACGGAGGCGTAATAGATTACGAGTACAAGATCTCACAATTGTAAAATT